AGGGGGTCACAAGGGTAATAAAAAATCATAATTCAATGATTTCTCCAGAAAAGTGCAGTTTGGGGGAATAAATGGAGGAAAGCAGCTGCTTGTAATAAAGACCGTTGAAAGTGTCAAGTCTCTCCCTCCCTTCTAATTCAACCCAGTCCACTGAGGGAACAGCAGATAAATAACACAGATGGACAGGTGCATTGTGGTCACTCAGCAGTCCCACACGCACACCAGACATCAGAGTAATTTACATCATCTAATGTACTGCAGGCTTATTTAATAATGATTGACATATGGATCAGGCTTAGGGTTTAAATGCCTATACATGTTTTTGCATGAGTTTATAAGATTCCTAAAAAGAATCACAGGAGTAAAAAAAGAAAAACCTCAATATGAACACTGACCAGAAAAGTTACAACAAGTCTGCATTGAATTCTAGTATCAGCATTGTTTGTTTTTCTAATAAGGCAAAGTCAGCCTGCAAGGCAGGAATGAGGCACAGAATATCCCAATAAAAAAATCATGAAAATATTGTCTCTGCATTAAAACTGACAGAGCTGTATCTTTCTCCTGTCTTGTATTGAGCACTAGCACTGTCAGCAAAATGCTAACGTTTTCTTGGCACATACTGTATAGTAAATGTCAACTGTAATAATGGTGCTATGGATGGAGGCTGCTCTTCTTTTTCCTAACCAGTTCTGTCAGAGAGAGCCCTCTTCTGAACTGGTTGTACTAAAAGTACACCACAAAGTGGGATGTTTTCTTTGGTAATAAGCTAATGAAAGTGGTAGTTATAAGGCCCAGTGCAGTCAAAAGCGTGATTTTCCCGTGTTTTATATATTTTCACACTATGAGGTTGGAATGATACTGTGAAATTGTGAAAATTATGATAATTCCCTTTTGGTGTAAGAGCTGTTTGAAAAGACTGCCTGAAATTTCAGCCTGTTTTGGTGGGAGGGAGTTTTGGCCAGCTGGTGACATCACCAGGCGTTAAATTAGTTAATTGACCAATAAGAAAGAGAGTTCCAAACCTCTCTGCCAATAACAGCTAGTTTTCAGTTTTCCCCTCCCCACTCAGACCCCTCCTAGACAGACTTGTTTGAGAAATTGCTCTTTGCTAAGAAGCTTTTTTTAAATTATTTTTTTAAATTTTGATTGAAAACAATCACAGTAAGGTACTTAATTGTTACCCAGAAATGATATAATATTGATATAAAAACGGCTGCATTGGACCTTTAATTTTGAGGGGCTTTCTGAAAGTAGAGCACAGTAAGGAACAGCACAGTACAATATAAGAGTGGACAGGGTTTACTCCCCTTTAAAAAAAAAGAACAAAAAGAAAGGAAGGAAGGAAGAGGGGAAAAAGAAGATACGGAGGCTCTTAACGTTTTCTGAATGGTTTAGAAGTAAGATCAGTCTTTCATATTTAAACAATGGGCTCATGTCCACCCTGCTGAGCTCTCCATGCTCCTCTCCCTCCCTGCTCCCTCCCAATCTCCATCTGTGTCTCTATCAGTCTGTGAGCAGAAACACACTGCACATCCTGCTCAACACTAAGGCCCAGCCAAGAGTTCACTTCCTGCTCCTCCACACCTCTCCTCTCCTTCACACCAGAACTATTCCCAGAACATACATTAACAGCCATTCATATACTCAAATAGCATGTGGACACAAACAGACAACCCAACACTTCCCCCTTTAAACTCGCACGCACGCACACACACAGACACAGACACAGACACACACGCTCGGCCCCCCTATATTAAGGGTAATTTCAGAACAGTAACGCTGGACATTATCTCGCTCTCTCTTCCTGTACGGATTCGGAGTGGTAGTGGAAATGATTTTTTCCTTGTTTTAACGGTGCAATAAAAGGAAAGTGGGAGATAGACTTTCAGGGAGAGTGAACTAATGAATGAGAGAGAGAATGAGCTGGAGGGATTTATACTCCCACCATCGACATCCACCTCAAATGGGCTGTTACCTCTTGTCTATGGGACTTCACATGTCCACTGCCCCTGTCATTTAAACTAGTTTCTTTTGTTATAACAAAACAGCTGTGCCCAAACAGTTTCCATGTAGGCTATTTTTCTAAATTAACTTTGGAGCCAAGTGTGGATTCTTGTGTTCCACGTAGGCTGCTGGGATCCGCTGCATGTCATGTGGTCCAAAACAAGCTGCCTTAAAGTGTGTTTGTGTATAAATCCACACACAGCCTTAGTTTGAATATCATCATCATCAGCTCACAAAGCCCCCTCCAGAGAAATGGGTCAAACATCACTCCTCGTGTGCAACCAAACACGTCACTAAACATTAAGGCTTCGGATAAAAAATAAAATACCTAATTCACATAAGACTGTTTATATGTTTCTTTGGAACCAGAGGCATTGCCTTGCGTCTTGCCTTACAAGCCCTATGAACATTTACATTTGTATATTCTGTTGAATTAAAGTTAACACTTTTGTTTCCAAAGTTAAGAGAAAATCACCAACTTGACTTTTCCTTATTAAGATAATGTCATTGGTCAGACACATAGAAAGCCTCTTTGAGGAAAGTAAAAAAAGGAACATGTACACAGAATATTAAGATAAAAGCGGAAAATGTTAATATCACACGTTATTAACAAAATTGTAAGACAAGTAAAACATCTCATAACCATGAAATAACCACAGGTTTAACACAGGACTATTGTCCCCTCAAAATAAAATAAAATAAGAACGTGTGTAAATGTCTGTACTGTGTGTCTGTATCTGCATGTATCTAAGTGTGTACGTGTGTGTTTGGTTGGTTGGTTGCTGTGTAGCTAAAGCGTTGCGTCCCCATGCTGGGTTCAGTCCTGAGGAAAGCACCAGTTTCACTTTGCTTTGGTTAAATTTCAAAAGAAAGAGAAAGATAATGTGACAGAAAAACAACACCTTGATATGCTCATTATGCTACAGAATAAAGCCCTTCAATGAATGTTGTACATGAATAAAATCCCACAATACTAGGGCTTACTGTCTCAGTCTCCAAGCTAAGGTTTTAAGATTCACTAAGTCTATCACAGTGCATTCATGGCTTTAGTCTTCACATTCACCTACTGAGGTTGGCATTGGCACTATAGTGGTCAACAAACTCCAATCTGACACAAGGTCCAACAACGTAGAAAAAGAAAAAGCCAGCATGCTCCTTGGAATAAACATTCCCCAAAAAAATATTTAAAAAAAATAAGTGCCTTCAACCCCAAACCCATAAGTGCTCATTGTTTTCTAAAGGAACTGGTCAGTTGATATTGAGGCGTGCCACTGTACTGTACTGTGCCGTGTTTGATAGCCTGCTAGCAGGGAGGCAGGGAGGCAGGGAAGGACAGATGTAGGACTCAGATCTGCAGTGCTCGGGTGTCTTGTTATGGTGTGGATCAGAGGGGCTGGATGGCAGGCATGAAATGGGGCGTCAGGCCGACAGACAGTGTGAATTGTCAGGGAGAATGTGAGATTTCACAGGGATTACTGGAAGACTGGGAGGCCAGCAGCTGGGGTGTGCTGTGCTGTTCACCCACACCGACGGCCCGGCCTGCCGCCGCACCACGAGCCGAGCACTGTCAACTAGCGCCCAGCTCTCATGTTCACAACGCTGTCACATTAGCAGCCCCTAGTCCCTGTGTGTGTGTGTGTGTGTGTGTGTGTATTAAGGCAGCAGCGGAACAGTCACTTTGGCCTGTCAATGATAGCACAGCCCTCTGTCTCTCAGACAGAGTTGAGACTATATGGGGGGGGGGGGGTCAAAAGGTTTCAAAGTGGTTAGTACTATTTATCCGCAGTATGGGACAATTGTCAGTCCTGATGAATCATCTGTGTTAGAGGGAATTGCTGCTATTGATAGTGACTGATTGGTGGTAATTGACTCTAGCCTCTCAGCACTGACTTGGATGGCCTCTCGGTGCTCTCCTCTGGTGAGTTGTACAGCTGCACCCATCATTGTAAATATTACACAATGTCACAGGCAACACCCTTGCTTAGTCTACACTCCACACCACTGGATGTTAAAGCCATGGCGGAGGATTAGCGTGTCATCAATTGGGTATGCACCATGATGCGTCCCAGTTGTGAGATCACAGGGTTGTGCTGCTCGCTACTTTTCAATAACAATTTGAAGGCACTGGGACGCAAGTCCCAAAAATATTTTAAATATACAAATAAAGAGAGGTTATGGGTTCAAAGGTTTATGGCACTGGGTGTAAGAGTTATTAAGATACTATTACTGTCACTTAATTTGAGTCTCTCTGTACACAACATCATGATCATGAAGTACGTAACAACGGTGGAAAAACAAAGCATAGATCACTTGACCTAAATGGCGGAGTGAATGCTGTCTTCAGTTAGTCCCTCCCTCATGACTAGAACAGAGCATGGGGTAAAGCTGGATTGGGAGATACATGGAAAATCCAGTACCCCAAAAACATAATTAACAAAAAGTGTTCCAATCACTTGCAAATCCCAAAGGTTTGGCTTTTTCTTTTGTCCAACGTTCCTTTCAGTTCTGGCCAGGAGCCCTGAATCTTGTCCATATGTGCTTTTTTCCATTTTATATACATTTACAATAGTAATAGTACAATAGTATGTTTAGTACACAGGTTTAGGGTCAGATTGCAACACTTTCTTGCAACAGTTTCTTTGGTTTTTCATTACGTACAAAAAATAAATAAAAACAATTGCTTTTTGGTTCTCAATTTGTTTTTGGCTCGGTGGTTTAATAAAAAAAACATTGTTTGCGTATACATAAATACTACACTGTTTTGAGTGGGTATTCCTTGGTCAAAATAGAAAAGAAATAGCACAGTTCATCTTCTAGGAAGGTTTTTGAAATGCATATAATGCAAACTTTGGAAAAGAAGGCACTTATTAGGGTCCTTTAGGCCAGGTATTGGCCTTAGTCTGAGGTGCAGATACTGATGGAGTTGAGGTGAATGACATTAGAATACTGTAAGTTAAGTTGTGTGCCCACAGGACTATGTTGTAGCCAATGCCGTCTTAGCTGGGGGAGTAGCGGTCAATGGTACGGGAGTGGGAGTCAGAGAGGGACCCCTGGGGAGGGGGCAGGGCCTGGACCCCCAGGACATCCATCTTGTCATGGTGGCTGAGGCGCAGGTGTTCTGCTGCCAGTTTGGACAGCGGGAACAGGCTCTCCATGGCATGCTCTGCCAGCAGCTCAGAGGCCTTCTCCTGCTTCAGCCCCAGGTGCTCTGCTGCGTATTTACTCAGGGGGTAGATCCCCTCCGCAAAGTCTAGCTTCAGCTTGCCGTCGGCCGTCAGCGCCCCTCCGGTCCCACCACTGCTGTGCATCTTCATGTGGCTGATGAGGTTGCGCTGCTGGGCGAACTTGCCCCCGCACACCTGACACTCGTAGGGCTTCTCCCCGGAGTGGATGCGCATGTGCTCGGTGAGGCGGTACTGGCGGGTGAAGCGCATGCCGCAGTGGTCACAGGCAAAGGGCTTGAGTCCCAGGTGACTGCGCATGTGGCGGGTCATGGTGCCGCGCTGGGTGAACTTCTTGCCACAGATGCTGCAGGGGTAGGGCCTTGTCAGCCAGTGGGTCTTCTCGTGCTGGCGCAGCGTGGCCGGGTCCTTGTAGGACTTCTCACAGGAGTTGCAGCGATAGGGTCTGATGATCTCCCCCAGGACCCCAGATGTCAGGCTCTGGCTGGACTTCCCCTCCAGGTAGGACAGGCTGCCCAGGCTGCTGTTGCTGTTCAGGCTGCCGTTACCGTTGGTGTTGCTGCTGTTGTTTTTGGGGTTGCTGTTGCTGCTACCCATCTCCCCTCCAGAGTACAGCTCCTCCTCTGTGTGGGTCTCCACGTGGGCGTTGAGCTGCTCAGAGCTGGGGAAGCCCTTGTCACAGGGGATGCACACGTACAGGTTGTCCCCAAAGCTCTCAGGCTCGTAGGGCAGGTGGAACCTCCCCATGGCCCCTGTGGGTGATGGGCGACCCTCACTACTGCCTGTCTCCTCACTGCCTGACCCACTCTTCTCATCCTCCCCGTCACACCCCACCCTACGGTAGCGATCATCGCTCTCCTCCCCTGCCTTGTGATGGTGGTTGTGATGCTGGTGGTCTTGATCTCCGTTTTGACCCCCTTCCTCCTCATCCTCCTCATCCTCTTCATCCTCAGCTGTGTATGACAGTGGCTCATGCTTCACCCAGCGGTAGATGTTGCCCATCTCCCTGCCGGGCTCTCCAGCCTCTGTGGGGGTGTCGGGGCTGGGAGGGCAGGGGTAATGGTCTGGACCTTGGGAGCTGGAGCGGTGGAGGTGGGGCAGGTGGGGCCCCAGGGGCTGGTTGAGGTGGGTGTAGGAGTGAAGGGGGAGAGACCCAGCCTGATCAGCCGTTTCCATCTTTTCTGTGGGGTAGGCCCCGCCGTTGGCCTCCAGCATGGGGCTGGTGCGGCCGCTCAGCACCCCCTCCCGCTCCTCATCATTGTGGGGCAGGGCGTGAGCCAGGTGGGGGTGGGAGGGCGTGTTCTGGGACTGGGAGTTGGGGCTCTTCTTGGAGAGGTCCAGGCCATAGATGGGGGAGCAGTTCCTGTCAGAGTGGGCTGGGCGCAGGCTGGGCTGGGCCGGCAGGGCTGAGGGTGTGGAGGGGAACACCTGAGGAACCTGAGAGGTTGGGGCATACAGCTCCCCTGCATGGCTGGCATGGGGGTGGGGCGGCAGCTCCTCTAGTGGTGGGGCACGGGGCGTGTGGGTGTTCACAACTCCCCCTGGATAGCAGGACTGAATAACACGGGTGGACACCCGATACCTGCCCACTCCCCCTAAACCCAAACTACTGGGGCCCATCTTCCCATAGGGCAGAAAGGCAGGAATGGGGCGAACAGGGTACTTCCCATTTCTCCTCAGCTTCTTCTTACACAACGCCACTAAGTCCAGCAGCTGCAGATAGCTAGCTGCAGCCAGCACGGCCCCCAGGTTGGGCTCTGTTGTGGAGCTGGGATCTCCCTCGGTCAGGCGGCCCGTGTAGATGTAGTCTAGAATGACCCGGAACACCCCGGGACTCACCATCTCGTGGTCTAGGTTGATGAGGTTGTCATGGACGACCAGGGACTTCAGGTAGAGGCTGCTGGCGGCCAGAATATTCTTGTGGGCTCGGAACAACGCGTTCTGCACCACGATGATGACATCACACAGGAAGCCCTTGGTGCGCTGGGTGTTGAGTTGCAGGAGGAGGTGCCTAGCATGACTTGGAACTTCCATGGCATGGAGCATCATCGTCAGACCGCCACCTAAAACAGCAGATATCTGTAAACGTCACGCAGAGCCAATAGTATCAGTCCACAACACACAATCAGTCAATATCTACTATACATATTTCCCAATTTTTGTATATTTTCTTATATTGTATTATGCTTGCATGATATTGTGGCACATTTTCCAATTAGTTTTTGTCTTCTTTTTATCTGTTTAGGTGAGACATTTAAAACGAATGTATTTTTCATACATAAAATGTAGTCTCAGTGCTGACAAGGGTCTTTTTTGGCATCCGTATATAAAAAATAAATAAAGTGAACTAAAATCTACTACCGCCAGACATCTCAATCTTCAACTCGAATTTAGGGCAGTCAATTCAGGAAGTAAACTTTGATAACAATTCAAAATAAAAATAAAAAAACAGCATCCATTTTCAATGACTTCCCAATACATTTTTTTACATTTAGTTTAATCACATTCACTTCCGAGAGAGAGAGAGAGAGAGAGAGAGAGAGAGAGAGAGAGAGAGAGAGAGAGAGAGAGAGAGAGAGAGAGAGAGAGAGAGAGAGAGAGAGAGAGAGAGAGAGAGAGAGAGATCACCCAGCCACATAATAATACACACAGGCACAAACGAGCAGACCTAACTCACTCTATTAAATTAATAAAAACAGGAACATTTTACATACAGATATGGATATGTTTTCTTGTTGCCGGCTTCCATAAAAAAATATTCCAGAGGTGGTGTGTGCAGTGTTTTAAACAAAGCGGAGAGTGAACATTTTGCAAGTATGATGAACAGCAGGTATAAACCTGTGGAGGGAGAAGACGGGTCCAAAAAAAGATGTGTCTTTGAGCTCCCATTCGGCCCAGTCATATAAGGAACTCTGATCACACAGGATGTAAATCAAGACAAAAATTAGAAGCTCCAATGCTTTAACTTTAGATGAACTCTGGGATTCTAACGTGGACACACATGCTTCTCGCATACCAACTCACACACACACAATCACTCAAACACACACACTCAAAAACTTGTGTGTTGTTGTACTAAGGCTTAAGTAAACATTATTAACTGTACAAATTTAGCAGGATGTATTGTTCAAACATTTGTGTCTGAGGATACTTTACTGGTGAGATGAAACAGTTTGTAACTGTCCCTAAGGGCTTGGTCTCGCTGATGGAAAACAAGCAACTAAATAAATAGCGGTCTTCCTGACATAAGTTCATCATCTTATTGTTTATTTCATTGACTATAAGACCCCAGTCAGAGGGACAGGGAAGCATGAGATTTCAAGCTGACATTTAATTACCTACTGAGCCCTCCTTAAGACACTATTCTGCCCACGACCAGGCCCTGCAATCCCACTGCACACCACACATAAACATATCAAGGGATCCATCTAAAGAAAAGCAGTTCATGTGGTTCTTAAACAGAGTTTTATACCCTGGCTGTCTCATAGCCTGCCATTCCTATCATTTAAAGACACACCTTAACACCTCAGTCTTAAGGAGTTTGCTGTGTAGTTGTGTTGATATATGTTTAGAATTACCCAAAAGTAACTTTGCCATTTAAAACATGGTCTCGTTTTGGTGAAATAAAACCCATAACCTAACCATTAACAGGTTTCCACTGCTGCTCCCTTAAACGCTGCGGTCTTTCATATCTCCCAGATCATATTTTACTAGAAATTCCACAATATGAGGAGCAAATCAAAGAAAATCAAAGAAAAGGAACAGGTCATTCAATATGCGAAGAATTTCAGGCATATATCTGAGCACTGCGCTACTCGATTGGTGCGCTGTGCGCAAAGCATAGCCCTCATAGGCTTTTACGCATGAGGTTGGGACAGGCGCGGATGTTTCCCCAGGGTGAATGGGAGTGCACCTTACACTTTTATTCTGTCACAGCACACTATACATGGCCTGAGAGAATAAAAAGGCGGCATGAAACAGAGATCTAGGCTACTCTATCCCCTTTACGCGCTTCGACAAATATACCACCACTTTATGGGATGCCAGCCTTCAATTATAAAGAGGGTTTTATTTAAATGTTTCAAAGGTAGAGGAGAAAATATAGCAGGCATATATTTATAAATTATGATTTTTAAAAAATAAATTCTGGAAACATGCACACCTGTCCAACGTGCAGCAAGAGAGTGGGCTTGCATGTATGGCACAATTATGCTATACTTTGCTTAGGTTAGTTTCCGTGTGTTTGATTGCTATCTAACTCTGATGTTTTATGAAAACGTTATCATGTCACACACTTAGGCTACACACAGGCACGCGCACACACACACACACACACACAGGTACACGCATACACACACACACACACAGGCACGCGCACACACACACACACACACAGGTACACGCATACACACACACAAATTATCCATGGCCTAAACAGCTAGATAAAAAAGAACCTTGCATGTGGCAGCGCACCGGCCTCCACCACTAAATCCCTGTTTCTCTTGCAGGTGCATGACAAATCAAAGTGAACGTGGTTGTAGCCTCTACGTAAAGGCGGGTTTGTCTTTTTTTTTTTGTATCGTTTGGATATATCAATTGCAAAATTAAAATGTTGAATATTAACACATTTAAAGGTGTTTTCTGAAGAAAATATGAATTGTGGGGCGAAAAACGAATTAAAATTAAATATTATTAGAATGATCATCCAGTTAGAATAAACGAATGAACTGTCTGTCATATCTGTAGAATTGGTGTAATATGCACATTGTGCTTTTATCTTGTTGCAACACCCCAACACGCCAAGTGAAAGAGAAGGAAGTGGTGACCAAAATAAATGATGCATTAAAAACCTTTGTCTGAGCATCATGCATTAATAGTTAGGCTACTGTATCCTCCTGTCAGCCTATCAAAGACAGCCCTCTAATCCACTGAGCAAATCAAACGTCTTAAAACTGTGAGAGAAGCATCTCAGTGCAAGGTTATATTCATAATTCAAATATCATTCACCTGCACAAAATAGGATGAGGCTACTTTATTTTTCATATTCATATCTATCTCTCTCTCTCTAACCTATAGATTGTTTATTCTCAATTATTAAACGTTTTTAAATTATTCGAAAAGTGTATCATCACAATGAGTGATCTTTTGGAATATGATTCACCAGTAAGTGATATTTCTCAATAACTTCTATGGGTCCTGAAGGTTCTTGTGTCTGTTATCTACATTCTGAATATTTTCCTGTACCATGATTTGTTTCCGTGTGGTTAGTTATAGGTGAATGCTATATTTGGTATAAGGGGGTGACTTCTTTGAAAACAGCGCTTGAGTCACCTTTGGGACAGTTTGGTATCCATGATACCCGTGTTGTGTCTGTGTTGTCACTGCTCTGGTTTGGGGGTGAGGCTGGGTTTAGATATAGGGGTCTGCTCTCGGTTAAGAACACACTCCACACTTCCTATCCACGCCTTCTGCCTGTCTGATTTACAGGGAACGACTTTGTATGCATATAGGTTTACCATGTTTATGCAGAAATTCCAGAATTTGGTATTAATTAGAGCAACTTCCTACACAACAATATTGATCTGGGACATCAGTGTAGTATTCTTTCGTTTGAGAATGGTCTATTTAAGGCACTTAATAATAAATTAACGTTGCAAATAAAAAAATATCTACTTAATGATAGCAAATTAAATGCTAATTGTGTTTAATGCATGCTTTATTTAGTCTATTCTAAATTAATGTATTTAGAGGTTTCGAGTAACAACAAACATTTGGGGAAATAGCTCAACTGTTTGTTTTCATGCTGTGAAATACTATCTATCATTGCTGTTGCCATTTTGTTTAGGAGTATAACATGAACCCTGGAGCCGCTGAGCTCTATAGCGCAAGTTTCATAAGGCCTTACTTAGCAGGATATTTTTGTGAATGGCTTGTATAAACGCAGTAGAGCATGAAACCTTATTTAATGAAAACCACACTTGAGGCTTTGAAAGTAGCCTAAGGGGTGGGTGTCCTGCGTTTAGCCTACGCAGTGCAGAGAGATGGCTCGAATTATATCGACATTGTTTGATTTTAGACAAGGCCAGAGACATTTGTATTTTACACTTGCTCTATAGTCAGAAGGCTAGAGAAGTGAGTTTAGAGGTTTAGACACAGATGTCAAAACGAGTCTGTCACCTTATCAACGCAACCTCGCCTTTTACCTTGGTTATGAATTTGACTCGCTCTTTCGTTCACTTCCTTATTAGGGGCATTTCAAATGCGACACTCAGCTGAAACTCTCGAGTTGCACGCCTCATCTCTCTAGAATACAGACCCCAAGATTTTCATTCATAATCCCGCCGGGAGACATGTGCACACGATCCCCGTTATTAAAGGGGCCTCTTTCTCAGAGCTACAGTGATAGCAGTTGTCAAATTGACGATACGATCCCTGATTTCCATTATTGTTATAGCGCTGTCTCAAAAACCAAATCATAGGACTCAAGGCCTATCGATGGACAGAGAAAAATGGTTCCAACAAATAATATGTTTTATTTGTTTTAAAATACGTTTTTGCTGTTAGTTTCCTTGTCACTACTAAATTGTATGAGAAAGGCCAACAATACTTATTTGAAAAATGTGCCTCCTTTTTAAAAATATATTTGCCTGCAGTAAAGTTTGTAAAATTGTAAAAGATACGTCTACTTTTGTGCAACCATGTCTTAATTAAATCATTAGATTTTATTGAACACACCGAGAGGGGAAGTAGGCCTATAGGCCTACAAGCTCAAATTTTGTATGCACTATGAGGCACATGTCCTTTTAACAAAATAGACTCGCCTACTCCTGAGTCCTGTCAACTTCTTCAGAAAATGTAATTATATGCCTACTCAATGCGTCCATTAGGCTATAGATCTTTACAACATTTCTTAATAAATAAATCGTTTATTAAGAAATTGACCATTTGAGAAGTCATTTGTTATTCAGGCTCATAGGCCTATTTTCTTTAAAGATAGGATACATTTTCCACAACAACAAAACCATTTTTAACATGATATAATTGATTTA